TTTCCCGTCACGTAGATGTCACACAGTCACTTAATATTTCTCGTCACGAAGACAACTCATAAACTTAATATTTTTTCCGTCACGTAGACATTCACAGTCACTTAATATTGTCAGTCACGAAGACGATATACAAACTTAATATCTTTCATCACAAAAATGATTCATATAACACTTTTATCGTATGGACAACTCGTGTATCTATAATATTCTCAATCGATTTTATGACCCATACTCTCATTGCAACTCTCGCCATTTTGAACGGCTCACACCCACATTATTATCTCATCATAGGAATGCATCATGCTCGCAAATGAATTCAGCTCACAAAACAGTCAACTCGAAACGCATGCACAAATTTCATCACACAATCAACCCAAGCCACGAAAGCTTCTTCCGTCATTTAAATCATCTCTGTCCTCCAAATATTTCACCACTTAGTTATTAAATCTCAAAAGAGATCATAAAACAACCATTTAAACAAAACTTAAATATGTATTAATAAAAAGAATGTAGGATAACACACCTAGCTTACGTGGAATTCTATCTTGTAGACGACCCTTATGCCAGAACTTTGAGTGTGGCGTTCTTTGAGGTGTTCACCTCTAGATTTGGTACACCCAATATTTACCAACCCACTCGGCATTAATATATAATATTGCTTAAGTAAGAATTAGTTTATTCAAACCGATTTTTTAATAATTAATTCTAATTAAATAAAATAATCTATTCATATTGAATAAGTTAATCTACTCGCATTAGTTGAATTATTCTTCTCGAATCAGTTTAATTTATGTATTCATACAAGTTACTCCAAATTCAACCATTCTCATGAAATCATAAACATACTAAAAATATACTTGAATTTACTCCATTTTTCCATGAAACCATAAAATCACATGCTTTCTTGTAACTAATTCATACCCATGCATTTATGAGAGTTCGAGGGACGATTAACAATTCACAAGATTTCAAAGCTACCCACCAATATAGTTCCTCTCTTGGCCAAAACCCACCCCACACACAACAACCATAATTTTCTTTATATTTCATGCCATGACTCTAGTTGTGCTTACACATTCCCACAAGCATCAAGCTAAGCCTTCATGGAACACTCAATGGTACACATACTCAACAAGTATCACACTTAACTTACATGCAATACCCAAAATGCATACACCAAGACTTTTTATCTATACATTTAAAAGGAGAGAAGGTAGATTACATGACTTACCATTTATACCCACTTCCTACACCCCCAAGCACCACCAATAATCTTCCACCATTAAACCCACCACCAAGCTCCACTTTAAAGTTCCATTCTTTTCATTCCTTGCCATGGCCGAGACCTCCAAGTTGGAGAGCTTTCCTTTGCTTTTTGTTTTCTTAGCCGAAAATCCCCAAATGGTTCCAGAGAGTTCTTCACCCCCTTTTGTTTGTCTTTAAGTCTTAATGGAGTGCCCACCCCCTCTCCCTCTAACCGTCCACTCCCCCTCCCTCTAAATTACACCCACACAATTTTTTCCTTAGTGGAGAGTGCACTCATTGCATTCTTTGCATGTCTTTATGTGCATATATAGATATATATCTCCTTACTTTACTTTAGTGGAGAGTGCACCAATACATGTGTCCTCATACACACACACACATATATATTTTCATATCCAAATAAATAATACACCTAATCATCTATGTTACTAGCCTTTAATCCAATTATTGCATACATTAGCAAGTATATTTAAAAACAATAAGTTAATATCACATGCTTGCCACCCACTTAGTGCCCTATGCACCAACATGCATAAAATAATAAAATTCCACATTCAAGCATACTCATTTAACTTTACACACTTAAACAAAAATAATTCGCTCATCGTCATTCAATCCAAATAATTCTCAAATCTTATTCATATGCACTCTCTAAATATTAAAAATACCGATCGTACAGGTTCAAGTCTCATAATGTTCCTAATTAAATAGTGATTACCAATCATACACATTTCTATCACATGTGAACATGCTCATAATAAATGATCATATAATATTTATTCGTGTTCGGGTCTTACAATTTGTCACGTGTGTTCAATTCTTACATTTGGTACAACCCTCATATTCCAAATGGACTGCCAAAGCTATGGATAAAGGGAGACAGAAGAACTGACCTTCAGTGGACTTGTGGCAAGCTTACTCCCCAACCTATATCTAGACCTTACAGTGTAATTTACTTTAATGTTGGGCCACTAAATTCTCTTTATCCTTACCACCATTAACTGGCAAAGGGATGACTTGGAGAGCATTCAACTCCTCCCTTGAAATAGCACAACACAGGCTAGAAGTTTTCCATCATTTGGGGTTTTCCTTAATGATATCCGCGACCACTGTGATAGAGCACTCCTAGGGCTTTGGAGATTGAATCACAAGATTTGGGAGAAGTGAGATCCATTTATCCTCCCAAAAACACGCATCACTGCCATCACCAATTTGCCACATAAGTACATTCTCAAGAAACTCCCTCCCATGAAGTAGGCGGTTCCAAACCCGTGAAGGTCTAGCTTCGTGTTTCGCCTTCATCAAGTCCTCATTTGGGAAATAGATCGCTTCATAAATTTCCCCCAAAAAGACTCAAGCTGGCGGATCAGCCTCTAACATTGCTTAGCTAGGAAGGCCTAGTTGAACAACTTGAAGTCCTTGAACCCCATACCCTCCTGTTGTTTTTGACTTAGTCATTTTCTTCCATTTCCTCCAACATATAAATTTGTTGTCCTCACAATTTTTCGCAAAAGTTTTTAGGAGACTCCATCGCCGACATGACATAATTTGGGATAACTTGAATTATTGTCTTAATCAATACCTCCTTACTTACTTGTGAGAGACAGTAACTCTTCCATTCCTGCAATTTCCTCGCAACTCTCTCAAGAAAATACCAATAGACCTCATTCTTGGATCTCCCCCGGACATTGGGGATTCCCAGATTCGAGTTGACAAGGTTAAAAGAAGTAAGATTGAAATAAATTTTAGATAATAATTAATAATTTAAATTTAGAATGATACAATTGTAATTAAATGATGTTCAGGGGTCAAAAGTAAGGAGGACATGTGGAAAACTACACGTGCTTTTACGATTCACTCCAGCGGCGCAACGTAGCGAACACTTTTACTTTTATGAAGAAAAAACATAGCCAACGCTCCTGTAATAATTATAAGTTGGGATTTTCGCAATTTGTACCCCAAAGATATTTTTATTTTTATTTTATACCTCAAAAGATTATTTTTTTCACTTTACACACCGAATGTCAAAAATTTGTTCTAATTTGGGATTCAGACTAATATCCGTCTCAAATTTTGTTAAAAATTGATGCATATGTCATCGAAGAATATAAATGATAAATTTATATTTTTGTCTAAAAACAACACATATGGATGACGACATGTGCATCAGATTTTACCAAAATTTGAAATAAATGTTAGTTCGAGAACTACATTGAAATCAATTTATGATATTTAGGTTATAATGTCAGAAAAATAATTTTTTAAAATACAAATTAAGAATTGATAAATTTTTCGGGATATAAAGTGTAAAAAGCACTTATACGTTCGAAACAAAGGCGCCAAAATAACTCTAATCTCCCGCGCCTTTACGAGTTTCCAACCCGCCAATCCTCGACCCTTATTTCTTCTCCACCTGACTCTCTTAACTTTCTCTCTCTCTGTCCCATCCCCCAATCCCTCCATATCCATATATACATCTACCATTCTGTCTGTGTTCATAACACAAAACCATAAAAAAAAAAATATGCAGAGCAACCAACCCCACCCCGCCACTCCCGGCGGCGCCACCTCAATCTCAGAAGCCTTCCTACCCAAACACGGCAAAAAACGCGGAAGCTATAACTGTGGCCGTTGTGGCCTTCCCAAAAAAGGCCACTCATGTCACTTTCCGACTACCTCCACCACCATTACCTCACCCACCGATTCCACCTCCGCTGTCATAGCTTCCCCTTTATCTGCCGTCCGTCCTCCTCCGCCTACCCCATGTCAGCCTTACTCTCATCTCCGACGAGCTCTTTCGTTCGATGACATCGATGTTGCTGACTCGGTGGACTCTGACGATGAAGAGCCGGAAACGGAATGGGATCTGGATTCTGGTGGGTTGCCAGCGAGTTGTTTGTGGGAGGTGCTGAGGAGGTTAACGCCGCCGGAGTTGTTGTCGGTGGCAACGGTGTGTAAAGGGTGGAGGGACACGGCGAGGAGGCTCTGGCGTGCGGCCGAGGAGCTGAGACTTAGAGTTCCGGTGAAGGCTCAGGTTGGATTTGTCGGATCGGTGCTGCAGAAGTGTCCCGGACTCATTAGACTCTCCCTTAGAATGGAAAGGTGACAACCCACACAGATCTAGGGATTCCATTGAATGGATCGGTTCACAAGAAATTCTAATAACAATAAACCTCTACATTGAAGTAACATGAACACGATGTAAAATCTAATTGGGTTAAATCTATCACAGGAAATTGAAGTTAAGTGAATGATATGGTGATGGTGGACTGAATGGTGAACGCAAAATAAAATGTTCTTTTGGGTTATTCAAGATATTCCATGGGCAAACATCAAATGTAATTATATGCTTAATTGATGCTTGTAGTCAGAATGATTTAGGTAATAGGCTTTCTTAGACATAGAGATCATTAAGAAATTGAATAAGAGGACTTCGTTTTGATCTGTTTTATATGGTTGTTGTTTATTTGTTGCAGTGACGTGGATGCAACGATGCTGGCCTGCATTGCATTCTCGTGTCCTAGTCTTGAATCGATGGAGATATTCACATCTAATACCTCAATCAACCGGATTACTGGGTATCACTTCGTTTTGCACCTTTCATGATATATACATTTTTGTTCGTGGTACAGAATTGAGAAATTCGATCATTGTTGAATTATGTGTCTGAATTGCAACCCCAATCCCTGAATTATCTATTGGGAGGTTGGTGGATTGTGTAGGGTTTACCTTGGTTAGCATCGATTTTCTAATAAGATTTGATCTTGATTAATTGGTTGGTGCAAAGCTGAAGAAAGCTCATCAGCAGAATCTGATCTGTTTGATTGGTTTCTGTACTCTACTTGGATGCAGTTAGGTGTTGGTATGATGCCAACGGCACATATGTAAGCACAAATCTGTTCCACTATATATATTTGGAATTGAATGTTTTAGATCAGCACTTGGTTAATGTGAAAGGGTAATTTTAGATCAGCACTGAAGAAGATAACTTTTAGATCTACTTCCCTTCAAACTGTGTCTGCTTGGGTGCACATGCAACAAATCCCTAATCTTTTTGTGCTTTTTTTAATTTTTTTTGTCTGTGGGTTGTATGCCATGGTTAGGATCTTTTCTACTTCCTGTTAGACTATATCTAGTTGCACTTGAGTGTGGTTAAGCAATTAGTCTCTTTGGTATTTAGCTGGAAAAACCTGCTGGTATCTGTTCAACATAACTTTTTGGAACTTCATATACCAAGTGCTTGTTACTGAGTATTGTATCTTCATCATGTGGTATTTTTCCGTAATAATGAAAGGAGCCCAACAATGTATAATGTCTGATGCAGGGATGAATTAGGTCGTTTTGTTGCTGATAAGCGATGTCTTACCAGTCTCAAGATGGAAGGATGCTCTAACCTTGGGGGTTTTAGTCTCTGTTCGTCGAGTCTTTCTATCCTTTGGCTTTCAGATCTTCACTCCCTCTCTAAGATGGTAATTATTTCCTACTTCCACCGGGTGTTCAAAACTTCCATTTTTCCATGTTCTCATCCTTTCTTTTTAATTAATTCGCTACTTCATTGGCATGCCCTCTCGTGTGTAGGTTTTCAACTGCCCCAATTTGAAGGAGATTTCTTTGGATTTCACTCGCCTAGAGAATGATAGTACTGATCTTAGAACCATGGTGGATGGTTTCGGAAGGAGCTGCCCAAGATTGCAAAACATACACATAGCTTCAGTTCGTCTTTCTAACGCTGTTGTGCTTGCTCTTACAGCTGCTAATTTGAGGTTTATTACCTTCTTTGTTTATTTGATTGACAATTCGTATGTTTTTGAAACCATTGATTGTGCTAAAGTTCACATTTTATTAAAAGAGAAAAAGAATGAGAAACCTGTAGATCAGTATGACCTTCTTTGTTTGTTTGGCTATTTTGGAAACCTTACACATTGTATCTCATGTAACAGTTAATTAAAATTAGAATTCTAATAAAATTTGTGTCATTGCTCCAATGTTCAGGGGCTTGCGAATGCTTTCTCTTGTGCTCGGATCAGAAATAACTGATGCATCTGTTGCAGCAATTGCTTCAAGCTACTCAACCCTAGAATTGCTTGATCTTAGTGGGTACATATCAGTCTTTAGTTCTCAGTGTCTTTGATATTTTTAGGTTGACTAGAAATCAGTAAAGCTGTCAAAATTTTACCAGTGTGTAGATCCTTTGCACTTGTTGAGAAGTGGTATATTTAAAAAGTGTATTCAGATTTTCTCCTCGCAATGTGCAAGCACCTTTAATGAATGTTGTAATTTGTTTAAATTGATCAGCAAATCTTCCTGATTGTGACTTTGATGCTATCACTTGATAGGTCTAGTATCAGTGACAGTGGAATTGGAATGATCTGCAATGTATTCCCTGACACGCTTTCAAGATTCCTCCTTGCCCTCTGCCCCAATATCACTTCAAGTAATCGTCAAGTCCAGCTTATTATCTGATGCAATTTTGTATTTGATTGTGCACAACTAAATTTTGCCTTGTTTCTCACAAATTTCTGCATCTTTTAGGTGGCATTCAATTTGCTGCTGCTCAATTGCCTCTTTTGGAACTCATGGACTGTGGGATGGCCATATGTGATCCCAATCCAAAAAGTCCAGCCTCTGAAGAGAGCAGTGACTGCGAATTACAGGGAACACCCAATAGCAAATTACTCATATACCAGAAGCTGATTATCAAACATAGCCGGTTGAAGAAACTAAGCTTGTGGGGTTGTTCTGGCCTAGATGTGAGATTCTCCATCTAAATAGTCTAGAGTTTCCAGTTGATATAATATTCACTACATGTACTCAATTTGTTAATTTCAACACAGGCTTTATATTTGAACTGCCCAGAACTCAGTGATTTGAATCTAAACTCTTGCAGAAATTTGCATCCAGGTATGTTCTCTGATGTCGTTCTTTCTGGGGATGACCTCTTTAAAACTGAACTCTTTTATGGTTTTCATATTCAATTGACAATTTCTTGTTTGTAACCCCAGAGAGATTGCTACTTCAGTGCCCCAATTTGGAAAGCATACATGCATCAGGTTGCCAAGATATGTTGGTTGAAACCATTCAAAATCAGGTAATCATCCACATCTTCTAAAATTGACTCCTTTGTTGCATCTGGTAGGGAAACCCTTTCTAATTTTAGCAAACTCCGAAAGGCAGATATTTACTCATTTGGGGGCTAAATTGGACATTTTGTAAATGAATTACATTGAAGAAAACTTGATCAGTGACATTTGCAGCAGAATGAGATGGTATTGGTACTGGTATTTTTGTCAGTAACAATTTTTCTTTTGTAATTATGGGGAAACTGAATACGCTATTTAGTATAAGGAGGCTGCTTGGTAGGAATGAGGCTTATTGTGAGACTTAGTTAAATAGGTAGTATGTGAAGAGTTTTTTTTTGCTACAGGTTTTTGAAGTTCGTTCTACTGAGTTCATCTAATTTTGTTGCTGTATCAAAATATGATCTTGCTCTCTCCTTTGCTCAAGTGTTTTGTAGTACTTTCTAATTGGTTCTTAAATGTTACACTTCCCTCGTATATTATTGTAGGTCTGCAGTGATTTTGCAGCTATAGAAAGCCATTTTTCTTGCAAACGTTTGGCTGATGGCTCGAAGAGAGTTCAAGTCCCACATTTTCTCAACCCACAGGTAAATGCTAAAAAGAGTGTTTTGCTGTAACCTGTGTTACTGTGAACCATGAAGACTTCCAAAGTTAGAAATTATAGCTGTATTATGCCTCTGCATATATGACTAAAAGTAAAGTAACACCATTTATACAATAGAACTGAAAGTTTATGGTTGTTTTACTTTATAAATGCAGAATACAGAGGTTATAGTAATAACAGAAACTCATGTCTATTCATAACCTTTCTTTATTAGATTGTTATGCTATGTTGGAATTTGTATCTAAAACGGGCTTATCTTTGTCGTGCAGCTTTATGACGATGATAAGAAGGGAAGGAAGGTTCGAAAACGGCGTTGTACTGTGCTTGTGAACTGATCAAACGCGTCTTTCTGGACATTGTTGTTGTTACTCTAGACCTTTTACAAATTTCTTGTTTTTATTCTTGTCAAATCAGAAGGGCACTTGGCTGAGGGGGTCCAAATGGCTGGTAATTTCTTACGTGGTGTTACGGGCTGATGTGCTTAAACATATACCTTCATTTATTCTCTATCAATACAGGGGAAGTGAAAACATTTGATGAACAACTTATCAGTCTATTGCCTTCCTCTTCTTTAAAATAAATTATCTTCCCGTAATTTAATTTAGTGTTACTCCGCTGGTTATTTTATGATTGGTGGATTGTAAATTGCACTTGGGAGGATCTTTGTATCAGTAGGATTCAATGATTTTTTTCAATGAGATCTACTTATTTAAGGATTTCATTTTATTTGGGTTTACATTGGGGATTACATTTTATTTGGGATTTTTATTAAAATTATGTACATTTTTAAATAAAAAAAAGACCGAGTTTTTTATTTAGCGATAACTCTACGCTCACATTGAAATAAAGTTTAAAAAATTACTTAGACATGGGTAATCTTGTATTTGTCAAGTCCAATAAATTCTTCATTATAAAATAATACCAAAGTAGAAATCATATGTAAAGGAATTGGTTGAAATATTAATTAAACAGGACTAGCGAAAAAGAAAAAAGAAAAAGAAAATATAAGGCCAAAAATTTTCTCAATTAATTCTCATTTATCAATAAAAGTTAGGTATCAAGGCAATGTCGCATACATCAGATAAAAAATTTATTTTTTCACTGATTGTACCACTAAAACTTCGAACAATTTAAATACAAAATTATTATATTAACAATTTAATTATAAAAAAAGTAGATTGACCCACTAAATTGATCAACCAATTAGAGTTCACGATCATTATATTATGAGATTAAGGAGATCAAATTCTTCTCGGAAACACACTAAACAAAAATATGGCTTCCACGCTTAATAAAAACGAGATAAATTATATTTTGGAGAATTATATTCAGATTCTTGTCACTTAATTATTCAGATCTATATGAAATAATACACACACAGATCCTTTAAAGTTTGTACGCATTTAACACTTTTATTGCTGTAAATATATACATTATTAAATTATACCTAGACCCTTTAAAATTTATAAACATATATTACTTAGACCCTTTAAATTTAAAATATTATATTTATATTAAAAATACTTTAATTAAAGATAAAATATCACATAGTTTAAATTTTATAATTAAAATTTATGTTCTATCGTATCATTTATTAAAATAAAAATTCAATTTTTTCTTAAAAAATTATAATTAGTATACAATTATATTGTGCGTTAGAATTTAATTTGGTTGTTTAAACGACCAAATTAAAATACCAAACTATCACAATTAAAACTAAAAAATATTGTGTCTATTATAGTTTGACTACTTGTTTAATTTTTTAGTTTTATTCTAATAGATAGTATAAATATATACTAATTATAATTTTTTTTTTAAATTAAATTTTTTTTTAATTTTATTTTAATAAATGACATAATAGAACATGAATTTTGGACGTAAAATTCATGTTCTATTATGAATGATGATGATGCACAAAATGGTTTTGCACACCACCTGTCAAGTATAGATAATAAATGCAATGAAATCAACGAAAAAATTAGAGAAGACACAATTTATAGTGGTTCGGTCAATTCGACTTACGTCCACTCTTCAATGGCTTCAGTCGCCGGATATTTTATTGATTCAAAGGTATGGAGAATGGAGATACAAGCTTTGAGAGGGGGAATGGAGAATCAAAGAAAATAATAATCTCCGGTAGTCGGTTCGTCTTCTGTAAGTCTCTGATGGAGCATGTGTCATTCCTCTCCCACATTAGAGCCATTTTATAGTAGCTAAGAGATCATTCTTGTGGAGATCATGACATATCCTCAAGGCTTCTTATCGCAGCTTAGAGATTATATTTGGTGAAGATCACGACTTATCCTCAACGGAAGGAAGAGGTTGGGGAGCTCTTCATGAAACGTGGTCAAAGATTGGACCGTTTCCTTCCTTCGGTGGTGCGGATAAGCTTCTCGTGCTCTCTTCTTGGTGACGTGCTAAGCAAGAAGTCTAACCGGCCTTGGGCTGTCTTGGACTTGGTGGATTTGGACTGTTTCCTTTGGCGGTGCAGATAAACTTCCCGTGCTCTCCTCTTGGTGACGTGCTAAGCAAGAAGTCTAACCGGCCTTGGTCTGTCTTGGACTTGGTGGATTCACAATGAGGTTGGGCTCCTCAACTGGGTTGGGCTTTAATACATAAATTGGACTATTTGGGCTTAACCCATCAAATGATTTAAACCTCTTGTTTGATTTTTTAATTTTATTCCAATAGATAATATAATTATATGTTAATTACGATTTTTTTAAAAAAAATTATTTTTGGTTTTATTTCAATAAATCTATATAATAAAACAGAAGTGTGTTTGAATTTTGTCTCAGTCATATTTTTTCTCTTAAAATCATCATCAATCACTTATCTCACCCATCATCCTTTTGTCAAACTCAAACGTCAAATCGCATCACTTATTTCTATTATATGTTTAATCATTTATATATTTATTCTTTAAAAACATCACACCACTCATTTTTATCATATATTTAATTATTTAATATTTGATTAATTTTAAGTTAATATATTTTGAAAAAAAATAATATAATGGAATCGATTTTTTAGACGTTCGAATTTTATATTTTATTGTGCATTCAGGCACAGATTATGACTAGTGATACAATAAAACATAAATTTTGATTATAAAATTTAAAATATTTGATATTTTATCTCTGATTAGAATAATTTTAGTGTAAGTATAATATTTTAAACTTAAAAAATTTAAATATTATATATATTTATAAACTTTAAGAAGATTACACGCGCATAAACTTTAAGAAATTTGTAATATTTAAAATATTTATTTAAGAGTCTGTGCGTAATTCCTCCGTTATATTTTTACTCTCCCCTCTGAACTAGCAGGGGACCAGGGGTAATCTACTTGAATCTAATGAAGAAGCTCACGACTTAAGCCCCTCCTTAACTGTTCTCTCTCTGTCTTCGTCCTTTGAAAAATGAATGCCTCTTCCTTTCCAACTGGCTCAAGAGGGCTCTATTCTCCTCCATCAGGTCTGTCTCTCTCTCTCTCTCTCTCTCTCATTCATTTGAATATGCTGTATTTATCGTATCGGTAAGGATTTTCAGTTTCAAGATCTTGATTGTGCATTCTTTTTGGTTCTTTTTTAACTTGCTGATGTAGAGACAGTGGTGCTGAAACGGATGAGTCTTGCTGTATTATATCGAGGTTCTGTCTCGAATTTGCCGATTAAAAGATTCTCGCAGACTTCATTGGATCGTCCTCGTTTTTTGATCAGGAAGGAAAACTGTGTGCAGGTTCAATTTCTGTTGACAGTGTTCATCTCTTTAACATTATTTAATGATTGACAAGAGTATTGATACACTGATACTTCGGAATTCTTTTTCAGGTATTATGTGGTCGAAAGAGGGAAATTCCTGTTTTAGAGGCGGGGTATGCTATTTTTTCAATATTATCAGAATTTTAGGTGGCAATGTTATTGAGACCTAATTTGATGACTTAATTTAATATGATCTTTGAATTGGCTTTGGACTCTATCAAACATTAGACTTAGTGTTAATCCAATGGTCTCGATTAAGCCATATCGTTTTAGGTCAGCAAATTTTTAGCTTCAAATAGCATTACTCTCCATGTTTACAGTTTATTGATTTATTATTTTTAAATCTTTTATCCCCATTTTTTGGGTCGAAGATAATGCTGTACAATTTTTTCAACTGATCTGAACGACAGGATTTATTTATCTATATTTTTAATGGGGATGGAAAATTAGAGTAATGCCGAGCAAGATGTTGATTTTATCAACTTACTCTACCGACTTCAAAACTTTGGGCAAGTGTTCGCATCAGTTTTATGCAAAAAATCATAAGAACTTATGGCTCTGTTCCATTGCCAATATGAATTAGTGTGCCCTAACAACAGTACGTAAACCAACTATTACTCTTAAAGAGTTGATTTGGGCCAGGAAAGACACTTGACCAACTTGTTACATTTAGTAGCATTAAGGAAAGAGAAAGATAGTGGTAAATAATAAGCATTTCTATTGTTTGAGATTTTTTTTTTTTTTTTTTGTGGGGTGGATGGGTGGAGAAGATAAAATTTTTGTACTTAATGGAGTACTCAACTCTCTATTGTCTTCGCCACATGGATAGGTGAATCTTGTATTACTTGAGTACATATGTGAAGGGAAATTACTTGTTTTAAAAGAAAGGAGAAAACTAGGTAATTACTAATTAGTCTTTCTTAGACCTCCCTATAAAGGGGGTAAAGCAAAAGTTGTGCTTGGAGAGGATGGCACTATTCCTCCATCTCTCTATTCCCCTTCCTTCTCTTTTTCCCAACCCAATGCAAACAAGGTAGAATGAGTCTCTCTTGCTCTTTCCAGTGAGTTAAGTGCTTCATGTTATTGGAGCACGAACGCATCAGAGTCTCTTTCTAATATATGATTACCCCTCCCTTATTTCCTTTATTTCCTAATGATCGAATTAAATAAGTTAAGAGTTCTTACAGCCCATGTATTGTCCTTTTTCTAATAGAAATTTTGATTGTTGACCCCTAATGTCAGTATCAGCTGCATTTAAGCACATTAATCAATATTTGCATGGGAAAATTTGGTTTTGAAAGTCATATTTAGACTGAAGGGTTTTCTAATGCTTATTGGCTGTATTGGCTTTGCATGGACAGTTTAAGTCAGTGCAAGCATTGGGTTTAAATTAGAACCTTAGCTGTCTTGAATCTTGATAAAAATTGTGCTAGCAAATAAAAACCCAAAGTTATACAAAAAGTCAACTAGCTAACATATTTGGATTGAAAGTTGTTTATAAAATAGAAATAGTAGAATTTTTAAAAATGTTATGTTAATATCATTAATTTTGGCTGAGAGCTTACTGAAGATAGCCCATGTGGCAAATTGTCCAACCTTAAAAGTCAGGCTTATGGGTTGGGGTCAGCTTTTCCTCGCCTTATATGGCACTATGAAAATTTAGTTGGTTTGCATTTTTTATTAACAGAAGGGGATTTGAAACTGAAGCAGCTTTGCATGTTCTCATTGTGATTGTAAACCAGCTTTCCATGTTGCTAATAATCCCACTTTTCATGAGCAAACTTACAGAAACTTGGTGCATGAACTTGAAATTTTCTCACCTGGTACTTCTGGTGTAGTTTTCTATTCTTGATGGCCTTTTTTTTGGAAATTTACTTGGGTGCCTATCATGTTTCACTTTCTTGGTAAGCTGATATGCCATATCTTGTACACGGGGATTCGAACTTTGTTTAGTTAGGCAGAGAAAGATACTGCAGTGATGTTGGCAGAGAAGAAACTTTATTTGGATATGTTTCTTTACTGAATAATTTTGTCGAACTACTCAAATGCGGGGTTGCATGCATATTGCATGTTTGCATAATAGGCACATTTATGTGTCTTTAATGTAATTACGTATGGCGTTTTTGAATGCCTTTTGTTTCTCTTCCCTTTAAGCTGTATGGATGATGTATACAATGCTTTGGCTGAACGGCTGGTTCGAACTGCAGCAGCATCAAATTTCCATTTCAAGTAAGTTATATTTTCTTGAATCTGGACATAAGTCTGGGCTACTTTTAATAACTGCAAGTTGCTGTTTGCATGTTCATGCTCAAGTTTCCAACAATAGCCTTATAATTAACCATAGGCAGAAGCCTTTTTTTTTCATTGCTGCAACTTTGCTTTATATTTAACTTTTTTAAGTATTTTGTTTATGCTCAAAATAGAGAAACTTTGATGCTGTCCTTCTACACCTGACACCACACCATTTCCATTCTTCCCCTCTGGCATTTTGCTGGCAATTGATGACGAAAATTGATGATTGGTTCACCTGTTTTAAAACGTTCTTCAGTTCAAGGAATCACAAAATTGCTATAAGAGAAAAGATGAAGAAAACTGGAGTTGTTATGTGGATAACATATTGGATTCCAGCAAGAAGTAGATTCCTTATCTTGCGACTCGATAGCATTACTGAACTGGTACATTATCAGGCTGTCAAGATCTTAGAGTTTATTGAACCCTAAATACTCTGTTAGAGGTTTTATAATGAAGCTTTGCATGCATAGAAACATGTACTTGTTTCTGTGGATTTCCTATTTTTTTCCTAATCGTGGTCCCCATCTGTGCCACTGTGTGGTGCACTTTGGCCTGCAGGGACCAGAAACTGCTCAAGAATAATTAACATACCTTACACCTTACTATGTGTAATTTTTTTGCTTGCATCACTGAAAACAGAAGCTCCTCCTTATTAATCTTTGACCTTTCGGCAAACCTTGCAATTTTCTCTTCAAAGGGTTCAATCTGCCTAAACATGCAGGCATATCGTGGGTTTGGCTGGTACTCCTGGTTCAGGAAAGAGCACTCTTGCATTTGAGGTAGCTCGGCGTGTCAACACATTATGGCCCCAAAAATCTTTTTTGCTTGATTCTTCTGTTGAGCCTCCTGATGTGGCTTTAGTTCTTCCCATGGACGGATTCCATCTATATCGTCATCAACTGGATGCAATGGAGGTTATCATTTCTGCATTCATGAACATCTATAGTTTCCTGTTTCTTACCAGTCATTATTTCCTCTATTGGCATTTCTTTATTTGTGAGGTGGCACTGTACCCATGATGCATCGGTTAGTCTGTAATGAAATCAATCCCAGTGATATGCCATCACATAAATAGTCTGTGTACACATGTAGATGCTAAGATGCACATATGATTACACATGCTTACACATATATTATCAATTATCAGGATTTTACTATTGGAAGTTTGGAACTCTTAGATGCTTTGACTTTCTGAATGATGTTCTTGCATTCTAGGATCCCGAGGAAGCATATGCAAGAAGGGGAGGTGAGGTTCCTTCATCTTGTAATCTCTGATTTGAAACCTTCGGAGCAATTAAAGCATGGATCTTTCCATTGGTGAATCAGCTCCATGGACATTTGACCCTGAACTACTTCTGAGATGTCTCAGGACTCTGAGGAATGAGGTTAGTATCTGTCTAGGTTAAATCATGTATACATGATACACCTCTAGAAATTTGGATAATCAGCATATGTAGTTATTTTGATATTCTCTACCATGTTGACAATAAATATGCATCAAGAAAAAGAATTATGATGCCAATCTTGGCCGTTGTCCATTATTATGAGTATGTGTGCATTCAATTACTCTAATTGCATTGTAATGATTAATATCTGCTGCAGGGATCAGTTTATGCTCCATCATTTGACCATGGTGTTGGTGATCCTGTTGAAGATGATATTTTTGTGAACTTTCAGTAAGTGTTATGCTCCCCCAACAAATCTTGTTCATAGAAGCTGGTTTTGTATTGATCTTGTATTTTTTGGACACGTCCTATCTGTGGATTCCAATGATTGCTAGCAGATCTTGATAATGATAAATATCATTGAGATGGGATCTCTGATTTGGCTACATTCGAATAACTTACCTCTTATCTCCCTAACAAAAAGAGGGAAAGGAAAAAGTTGATGCAGAAAGTACAAAAAGGGAGTCTTTTCATCCTTTGTTAACAATGGTTAAATTAAGCTGGTAAATTGAAACATGTTTTTTTGGTTTATAAATCATTGATATACGAGGGTCGTTCTGATGAGTGTAATGATTCTAATGAATGTTGGTATTTCAGTTTCTGGGGGTATATTATGGATTCTTGGTTTAGCTAAACTCAATTCAATTCAACAAAAGATTGTTCCAAAAGGGTTGTATTTTGTATTTACATTCTAGTAGGCCTGATGTTTCGGTTGCTTTCACTCTTCCCACTCCGGGGGTGTCTTAAAACTCAACATTAGATACGATAGACTCCAATCATGTTTTGAAGACTTATATATGCATTGATGATTGTAAGGGATTTGAGTTGTCTGAATTTCAGATAATTGTTAATGCTTGCCTACTTATGAAATTTCTTGCTGTTGTATTAAGAGTTTGTGCAGGAAAAATGTAATTCCTTTTGAATATAGGAATGTTGAACTACAACATTAAATACTAGAAATAACAATGGCATTTGTCCAACTAATCAATAGTATGTTGTCTCATTTAAACTGTTGCCTTTCATTGTTTCAGCAATCCAAATTGGGGAACTCTTGTGCATCTCATCAATCTAAAATCATATTTTTATCTCGTCGCAGGCACAAAGTAGTGATAGTTGAAGGTAATTATTTGCTTTTGGAAGAAGGGAGTTGGAAGGAGATATCTTACTTGTTTGACGACAAGTGGTAAACATTACAGTCTTCTGAGCCTTTTTACCATTCATTTCTCTAAAGTATATGGTGAAATATATTATTTAGTATGATCCTGCTAAGTTTCTATGCTACAGGGAGGGAAATGCAATGTCACTCTTGAAATTACTAAATACGTTTATCTTTTGTATGGGTCTGTAAAAGAAGCTCTTGACTTTTCAACACGTACTAAAAGGGATGTGAGGCTTATGTCTTGATGCTTGCCCAGGATTTTTTTGCTTTTTGTAACATGTGAGCTCTTGCTTTGTTGGTGAGCTTAGGGATGGCATTGGGTTGAGCTTGGGAAAAAATTCCCTAGCCCATCCTGACCCAAGACTTGGGGTATGGGTGGTTTCAACCTCTGACCTTTTTACCTGGGAAGGCAGCTTACTTGATTTTCAGGTTAGATTGCCATCTTTGAATGGAATTTTGACTTCTGAAGTCTTTGCATTCCAAGTATTGCAGTGAAACTCTTGGTGTTACCAAGATACAAAAATAAAATATCCAGAAGATAAAACAGAAGTTTTGTTTTTAGAACTCTTTCTAGTTTATGTGGTAGTCGACAGTCCTTTCATATGTGGTTGATGAATGTAGGGGCATGGACTTTTGATGTAGTTTTCAGGTTAATGCCAATTTTTGCTGCTTATGTTAATGTAGGTATAGCATGGCGTAATGTTTTTGTCCTCAAACGGACTGCATGGCTGAATGTTTTCTAGTTTAATGTTTCAAAATGGTGTTTTGGTAGATGGCTAGGATCGATAGACTTATGTTGTATCTTTCAACTTGGATATATACCAAGTTTCCACTCCTTCGGAATTTTAATTGCCGAACATGCATACCCATTGCCAAAAAAAACAAAACGAGATAAGTAGGTAACTATCTCAATGAATTTCCTAGAGGTTTGATCTTTTTTTTGGCCCTTTTCTCCTTGCTTTTGTGCAAATTTTATTTTGGTGGATGTTATTTGATGTTATTTACTTTTAATTATGATTTCCTTTAAAAGGTTCATTGAGGTTGATATTGACAAAGCAATGCAACGGGTTTTGAAGAGACACATATCAACTGGTACGTACTTATAGATTGTTGGTTAATCAGTTTTACGAAAAGAAAAGGCATGGCAAGAATAGAGGAATATGTAATGATCTTATCCTTTTGCTGTCTATTGTAGGAAAGCCCCCAGATATTGCTAAATGGAGGGTAAGCTTTACTGCTTGACTTCGTTGTTTTTTTTTACTGCTTATCTGATTGAGTGGGTGCTCCCAACTTAACTATCCTTCAAGTATTGCCTAACTTTTGATTTCCATTACTTGTTACCGTGCAGATAGAGTACAATGACCGACCAAATGCGGAGCTTATAAACAAGTCCAAGACAAACGCAGATTTGGTAATCAAGTCCATCGACTTCTCAAGTTGAATCTTAGTATCATCACCAGAGCAGGAAATAAAATTCACCGAGTTTTAGTTTGAATCCCATTCACCTGGTGAAGAACAATCCTGAATAAAAGGTACTTTTTTTTTTTTGATCAAAGACAAACTACAACATTTCTATTTAAAAGTAGAAATGTCATAGCCGTCATATAACTCACGCACACACCCAAAGGCTATCTGACATGGAATAGTCCTAGCCCATCACCACCCAGGTCCCCCCCCCCCCCCCCCCCCCACCGTTATGTCAATGGCAATATTTGCAGTGGAATAAAGGTAAGTAGATCCAGTTCTGTGAATCCTGTTTCTTCACAAGTTATTTGATATGAAAGAATAGAATAGCGGATAATTATTTCTTCTGAAACTGCCACGTCATGTATAAATTCTTAATTATTCAAAAATATACGAGATCTCAAAATTTTATTCCAAATTTGCTGAAAATCTCCGAACATGTAACTGGGTTTATTTAAAAAATCGGCTTAAAAAAGTAAATGTTCGTGGTTTTTGGAAAAGTAGAATAATTTCTTTGAGGTGTTTGAGAATGAATTTTCAGTTCTAAGATAAGAGTTCAACCGGTTATTTGGGCCTTGTTATTGATATAGGCCCAAGCCAATAACCTGATCCAAAAACCCAAGTTTTGTGTACCCAGTTCACATACTAGCTCGAGAAGTTTATCCTCGCAAAGGATAAGACTATGGGGGTGACCATACCTATCGGGGACCTCATTATGGCTTCAGCATAGGACACCATACTGTTTCTGGGGCCCATTTCCTGGAATTGTTGCACGGAGGCAAAGATATATGACTGTATGAGGCCATCAAATGACTTTGTGCATGCATAACCTGTTCACGTTAGTTTAGTAGTCGAACAAGGAGTAAATCATAAATTTTTATATTTTCAAGTTCGAGATTTTTAGATCATATAAATTTAGATTTGATCGGAAATACATGTTTGTATATATATATATATATAATTTATCTTGTTATTCTGAATTTAAAATACATATTATTGAGATAATATCAAATCACAAAAAACAAAAGAACAGTGTGCCTGGGATGATGACATGGACCAAACCAACTATCAAGCAGGTGGAGTGGGCAGCGAAACACGGAGGACAGCAATGTAGGGACAGCTCCGGCAGTTCTGGGCCCAATTAACAAGCCCTAAGGCCAAATTCAAACCTTGTTCCACGTGTGGTAAGGCCCACATCTCTCAATCAACCTTGAACCCTAGCGTAACCTTTCTTTGCATTGCATTTATTATGCAAAGGTGCAATCCTTATCCTCTCACTTGTTCCTTGCCCCTTGCCCCTTGCCCCTTTCCCCTTGCCCATTGCCCCCACCCAAACAAAAAAGGTTTACATTTTTGTTGCATCTCACTATTGATAAATTAATTGTGGCAGGAGGCTCAAAATTTTTTCAACTTTTCTGGCTGTAACAAGCAAATATATTTAACTTACTTATCGGAATATATATATATATATATACTTTATTTTCTTGAACCAAAATACAACCAACAACTTTTATAAGTCTTTATCTCTCTTAAAAAGTTCGATTAGCTGTGATGGAGTGTGTAATTGTGTGTTTTAAACTTTAAATTTAAATGCAAATGCATGTCATATGCCGAAAGCAACCAAAGCCAACCCCATCCATCTATTCATATAGATTTTTGTAAAGGTTCTAATTTTGAATCCAATTTATTAGTAAATTAGATTTCAGACAGCAATAATGATTCGGAATTCGGAAGAGAAGTTTGATAATTAAATTTGAAAAAGGTGTACAAAAGAAAAAAAAAATCTGGTCATAAAGATGTACCCACCAAAGAAAGGTTTAGGAATTCTGAAGAACTATTAATTGATAATTAAATTTGAAAAAGGTCCACAACAACTTTATGGAGTGATTTTGATTGGGTAGCACATATAAGTGGAATTGGGATAGAGTCCTGGATAAGGAAAAAAATATTAGATGTAACGGTGACATTGTATGTCATTGATTAATGATGTAGTGTCACTAATTAGCGATAGAATACCAATTGGATTTAGTGGGTTTCATTATTTTACTAACTACCAATAATTATTTCTATCATGTTGGAATAGTAGGGTTTATTAATACTATTTATTATTTTATAATTAATTAGTGATATTACATAATAATAATAAAAATGTGACATTACTGTTACGCCCAATATTTACGGCTGGACAAGCACTAAATTTTTTTTCAAATCCTTGATTAAGTCTAAGTAAGAAGTGGACCCTTTGTGTGTGATCTTTAACATCTTACAAAGATGTGGTGGGTCCACTAAGTTGTCCAGTGCCACTCTGATTTCCATCATCTATGAGTGTTTTTTGGTGTGATATAGGTGCATATGGATATGTCTTCGGATAAGAAACCTATATTGTTGGTTATAGCTAATGTATGAATCTGCAGAACGAAGATGTTTAAGGATAAGCTTAACATACAGGATTTAGGTCCTTTTTAATATATATTTTTAATGATTGATCAGTAGTGATATATTAGTGAGGGCACCACTTATGTATAATGGCTTTTATTTAAATTTATGGTTGACAATCTATTATTAATAGAAATTAAGATATTAGAGAAGATCTACATTCTATATATTTGTATATAATTTTTAGACTTATATGTGTTTAAGGACGTCAAAATATGATACGAACCTTTAATATGACACAAAATTAGAGGTTTTCATTTTTTTTGGGAAAAAAAAAGGGGTGGAGTAAAAGAAAACGCCTAAAGACCATCTTGATAAATCCTCATTGGTGGGATTATGAGGCCTCAGACTGTGCATGTTACTCCTCTCAGAAATAAATTTAGCTAGTCTAACATAGTGGCTAATTACCGAGCTTTAATGTGGACTCCAAGCTCGAACTTTCAACCTCAGCTAAAAAGTTTGACTGGTATCCCACTAGATCATCCAACTCGGTGGTATGAAATTAGAGGCTTAAGTCTCCCTTAAGCCACTTGTTTTGTAAACGAGTAAATTCGACACGACACAATTAATGAACAAATAGGGTATGAGTGAAGTTAATTATAAGAAATACATGATACGACTTGTGTATATGTCGATTATACACGATACGAATCCGATATGACATGATTTATTAGAAACGAACAAAGAAACGATTCAAGTATGAGTGGAGTATTTTTTTGACACGAACTGACTTAGACCTAACACAATAGACAAACCTATATGCATTATTAAGTCAAAATTATGTGGTTACCTTGTCCAAATTCTCTTCTCTCTACAGTCCGTAAGCCACATTAGTGAAGAAACCATTTTGTATGCTTGACAAAATCCAAATTTTCAAGTGTCATCTTGTCCTATTTTCAAATTTATTGCCATTAATGTTCGAAGGTGTTGAATCCATTCAATAATTTGTCTTACAACCAACGCTGCAATCTGTGGATGAAACTTGCCACTGTAGTCATCCAACTGTACTGTCACATATTTATTTGAACGCGGAATTGTTTGTGGTTCACATATTCACGTACCCATCTATGACTTTCACAATTTAAGAAGCTTTGGGCAACGACTTTCATTACCTTATGCCAACGTTCTATACCACGAGTGTTATATTCTAGAATGGTTGGACCTGACTCTTCCATACGACTCTAGCAATAAATATATGTCAAGCCACCAATTAGTTTCGTCTAGAGAAAACTTTAATCATACTTGCAATTTAGGGGAGGGAATATAGCATGTATAATTTGATCTTAAATCAACAATGGACAGGCAAAACTCTAGCAAGTGTACCGAGGATCAACTATTTTTTTTTGTTATAGGGTATTTAAACTTGCACCGATTATTTTTTCGAGCTTAACGACTGACTACCGTGGCTTGAGTTGAATTAAATTATGTCCTTAAAAAAGAATAAAGGTTGTTAGTCCTTGAAAGGTGCGGAAAAAAATTAAACTTGAAACTTTTTCGTCACTAAAGGTAGATTCAACTGTTGAAATACCGCTAAGGGTTACTGATGCTCAAGTTACAATCAAACAAATACATTCAGAAGTAATGATGGATTTTATTTTTTATAGTTTTTATTTTTGGGGAGGAGGAAGGGGACTTGAACTCTTGATCTCAAAAAAATAAAGTTTTCACAAAATAAAGAGTATCATTGGACCAAAAGCTCGTTAGTATGAGTAATAAGGGATAAAGTCTGATGTCTAATCTAGTTACTCTTATGTTCTAAGATATATTTTAATATAAATAATTATTTTTTTATCTACTTTCCTTTTAATTTTAGAAGGATTGATTTTAATGAGTTGGAAGAAAAACTCATTCATCCACTTTTTCATCTTTCTTATTTTCATTCATTACAAAACATAATATTTTATTTATCCTTTCAACTTTTCATCTTTCTAACTTTCTATTTTTTCATTATACCAAATAGAACATCGGAGAAAAATAACATTATTATATGAATGATTTTGAATTTTCAATCACTCTACGAGTATTATTCTCAATACTTTTTACACATTCATTCTTTTTGTGAAGGAATTATTTTGGTAATATAAGTAAAAGCGATACACTATATACTATTAGATTGTGATATTACACTAATGCTCCATTTGGTAAGAATGATGAAAAGTAATAAAGATCCTTCAAGAAAGAAAACTATGAATGATATATTTTTCTTCTTTTGTATTTGGTAGGATAGATAGAAAATAAAAATGATTAATTTTTTTTTGTGCTTGGTAAGATAGAAAAATTATTTTTTTATTTTTATTTTAAAAAACAATTATAAATATATATTTTATCATTATATTTATATGTAAAATTAATATATACATTTTAACTAGAATAGTTTTATAATAATCATTTTCAGCTTTACAATGTGAAGAACAAGTTTCATCTTGTTTTAAAAATTTTGTTTCTGAAGAAGAATTACTAATTTCATTAATATTATAGTCTTCAGAAAAATTATCAGAATTATCTTCTAATTCACTTTCGGAGTTTAAAACAATTTTAAAGATTTGTTCTTTAAGGTTTTTATCATTAATAAATTCATTTATTTGTTTTTAGTTAAACATTTAGAGGCAATGTAACCCTCTTTTTCACACTTAAAAACATTTAATATAAACCTTCTTGTCCTTTTTTTTGACTCTTTTAGTAGGTTTGTTAGCTATCTGATAATTTTTTTTATAGAATTTTCGACCCTTTGGTTGCTAGAAGATTTATTTTTTGGTATATCAAGAGTA